CATATTAAATATTTAGTTGACTTCCAATCCTGGGTCATTAATACGTTAGTAAAAATAGGGAGGTGAACAGAAGTCACCTCAATCCTATCATTTGGTACGCCTGGATATTGCCCTGATTTTCATATTGCGATATATTGCAATAATTTAAGAGATATTGCAATACATATTGTGATAAATTGACTGGAAGGTTTCTGCCCAAGTGCGTACATCATTAATTCATAATAGCTCTCTGTGTGCGACATCATCTTCTCAGTTGCTGTTACGACATACTTTCAGGCTCCCCGATCACATCGTGTATGGCTGTATGGCAATGGTTTACAGATAAATAGAATAATATAGAGCCTAAATGTGGAATATATTGCACCAACGTTTTGCGAACATGATGATAAAGGTAATAGTATAACATGATTTTCATAGTCACTGTTGTTTGCTTTAACAGAATGCACTTCAGTGCTGTATGTAATTATTGTTACTGTATGTGATTCATTCAGATTCAATGTGTTAACATGAACTGTTGTCAAATGAAACAAAAACAAGATCGCATGTGACCTCCAATAGCTAACATCCTACTGGAATGTCATTATACAGTCCTACAAATTTTCTAAGACTCAGACCTGTTTGATAAATTGATATCATATGCCCCATTATGAAACAAACAAAAATAACAAAATACTGTGAAATGGTCACTCAGAGCAAGAGGCTCTACTAATAAGTCCAAATAAAAATTGGTCCATTTGAGGCCACTGAATTCCTCCAAATGAAACCATGCAAACCCACAAAACGTAATTTTTATATTGGGTAGAATATTCGGCAATTTTGAAGCCACTTATAATGACACTTCCACTTGTAAAATGTTACATGAAACCAACAGATATAAACGTTTATTTGGCACTTTTAGAGCACATTTGTTTGCTATGGAAATCAAGGGCAGATAATTCAACTCTGGATGACCCAATATATTGCAGAATCTCAACCATATCGCGATAATCGTATTGCGAGATACTGTACCGGTATATTCCGGTTTACCGGTAATATTGCACAGCCCTATCATTTGGAAGTGTTTACATCACAAATACCTAACTTATGCATGGCGAATCAGCTGAACTTCAACATATCAGGTAACACAAACGTATATGTATATTAACGTATGGCCCATATTAAGATTTACAGCTTCGAGTTTATCAAATTGCAGGACATGCAAGTTTCGGGTATAAAAAGTCTAGTTTCACAAAAATGAAGTACCTTCGGAATGTTTACAATACATTCTTTCGAACAGGTCTAATACACTTCCCACCCGTGAAGATCCGGGATGGAATTGGTCCTCAGTAACCCATGCTTGTCGTAAGAGGCGATTAATGGGATCGGGTGGTCAGGCTCGCTGACTTGGTAGACACCTGTCCTCGTATCCCAATTGCGTAGATCGATGCTCATGCTGTTGATCACTGAGTTGTCTGGTCCAGACCCGATTGTTTACAGACCGCCGCCATATAGCAGGAATATTGCTGAGTGTGGCTTAAACCTAAAGTTTAACTCACTCCGTAACTAATATACTTCAATATGCTTTTGTGTTGTTCAAAATGTGCAGATCGAGAAGTGGACAATCACAAACATAGACACTTTCTAAAGTCAATACTTACTGTGTACATCAGCACATACACGTGGAGAAATAGATGATTGTGTATAGGACAATGTACGCGCGAACAGGTCTTAGATAGATAGATAGATAGATAGATAGACAGACAGACTACGCATTATATACTGTTATATGGACTAATTCAGGACAGCTGTCGTCCAAATATTTAAAAAGTCCAAAACTATGTACTCAAGACATGTGAGACTTTATTGTAATATATATGTGACGCTAAGCTGTATTTTTAATCACTACTGTACATCCTTATCACTACCGCATTGTACATTGACTTGTCAGGCCATTAATTATTGTATAAGACATTTATAACCTTAATTGGTAATCCCCCTTGGCTGTGTCTGCCATCACATCAACTGGTCAAGGAAGTGCTATTGTTTTTCTGTCTGTCCATTGATGAGTCGTCGCCTGTCCATTGTTGTCAAAAACTGTATATATACTTAGTATGCTCACATCTAGACAGTGAAGGAGTACGAGTTCGGTATTTGGACTGTCTATAGGGACGACCACGAGCAGGATAATGCCGCTTGTAGGAATCGCCCTGGGGTTGAGCAGGAACTCCGCTCACCTCATTTATGTCTTGTGTATTTGTTTGTCATGTAACTAAAGAAGTTTGATCTCTACGTATTCCTTCGTCTTGTCAACGTATTGTACGTACACCTCATCTTAAACATGAGCTAATTCCCCAGTCGACACGTATACCACGCGTTGACAATTTGTTGTTAGAATCCGGCTGGAGTAACTTTTTAGCTTACTCCCGATCTTGAAAACCTCTCTATGTGCCTACCATTAACATGATGTATCAAGGATAATTCCCCAAGTTCTACGTCTACTTGAAGAGATTACAAGCGCCTTGATCATCATGGCTCCTCAACGCCGCCATCTTCACTGGTGCATCATACAACAACCACCTGATGGACAACCTACAAGTTAAGGAAGAAACACCCAGATACCACAGTCCAAGCAAGTACTATACCCCGCGTTGACAATTCGTTTGGAACTATCTGCAAGACATTCCTATTTTAGGTAAATACTTCGTGTGTGTGTTAGATATGCAGGTCGAACACATTGCAGTGGACGGGTTACCGGCAATATATAATACAACTGTTGTGTCTTGCACAATGTGCACGGGAAACGCGTCTTTGTGGTGTGGTGTTAGCCCACTTGTTGTCCCTCTCAATAGTCACAGTGTGAATCCTACCTGAAGAGTGACAGGAGATATCCTGCAGGTGGTGAGTGACATTTACATGCTCTCTCTCTCTCTCTCTCTCTCTCTCTCTCTCTCTCTCTCTCTCTCTCTCTCTCTCTCTCTCTCCTCCTCCTCCTCCTCCCTCCCTCCTCCTCCTCTCTCTCTCTCTCTCTCTCTCTCTCTCCTCCTCCCTCCCTCCCTCCTCCTCCCCACTCCCTCCCTCCTCTCTCTCTCTCTCTCTCTCTCTGTCTCTCTCTCTCTCTCTCTCTCTCTCTCTCTCTCTCTCTCTCTCTCTCTCTCTCTCTCTCTCTCTCTCTCTCTCTCTCTCTCTCTCTCTCTCTCTCTAAGTCAATCAATTACTGAACTTTGTTTCTTGACAGGGTTAGCCAGTACTGGCGTCCAAGTTTGTACATATGAACTTTTGAGCAGGTATAGTTGCGATCATAATGAAGAATACATTTCTTGACATCGCTTTTGTGGAAAAAGGAGCATTTAATGAACTTCTATGCGGCATTGTCCGTACATTATTTACCTTTTATACTATTTTTGCTATAGGCGAAATTTCCTCCTCGCTAATTTGGTCTTTACGCTTGGAATTTTGAAGAAATTACACTTGGTACCATTTTGGGTTGGACTGGGACATCCAACGAAAGAAATATGCCATCTCAAGTCAACCACACACCGAGAGTAACGGGAAAATCAGCCCCATTGTTATATATTTGAATGCTGTCATAACAAAGGGAAACGGCAGACGTCACACGATGCCCCACGATTCGTCACATCTTGCAATGTCCATTCAATACAATGTACAGATTTCTTTTACTCTTTTATTTTTGACGAGTCTACACATCTAACTAAACATCTTTAATAGAATGGTTTAGTTTCACTGAGAAAATATCCAAAAACATGTAACACTATTTCGATTTGGGTAGCGATCCTTTGTTTACATAGGTTGTACGGCTCCACGTGCTGTCATCGAGGCTGATGGAGAGCAAACGATGCAGCCAGTTTGATATCTAAATATGTACTGTCATAGACCTTACTGTCGTAGTTGTGGAAGAATATATATGTAACAATGTAAAACATTATGAAGAGAGCGCAAAAAAGCTTTCGTGAGTCCAGTCTCTTCTTCTTATGAATATGCGCGTTTGATTACAAACAAAGTCCGGTCACGTGATATGCAATTTAGCCTGTGGCAGTTATGTTAAGTCATCGCTGTGTCGGAGTGTGACCATGCACTGCATTCGTAACCAACTCGTGTTATTCCGGGACAAGCCGAATAGCGATCTTCTTGGAGGTTACGGAAAGGGGCGAGTGGTGACGAATGCATGCACTGTGGCGACACAGCCCGAGATCTGCCGAGGCTGGGATGACGATATGATTACCTGCAGGTTGTGGGATCAGGGCAGTTGTTTGGTGCTTTTGAAAAATCTCTTATGTCTTTTTTTAAAAGTGTAAATAAGTATGTTTGTTTGTCCATTTTGAAGATATGCATTGAACAAAATATAACCGAGAGCGACGTTGACCGATGAGACCATGTGTTTGAATGAAAAGGGACTCCTTCAAAAGGGAACCCATAGTGTCAAAGGAATACAGAAAACGCGGTCAGAAAGTTTTCTTAACACACTGAAAGGGCTACTGCTGTAAGTAGGTGGGCTTTACAAACTGCTTCCATGCTGCCTATCCTGCATAAGAAGAAATCACGATGTAATTACAACTGGAGATTACTATTAAGTCATGAAAAGATTTCATGTGTGAGTTGTACTCTGTCCGAAATACAATGAAGATATTTACAGTATCATAACTTCGTCTTCAATTCTGAAAGATTAAAACTACCTACCATATTAGGATTGATAATCACTTTATTTCAATGACAATTATTTCTACCTGATTCCTTGTATATGCACATGTGTTCGTCTCCATCCCTGCAACCGTTATATTACGTAATCATGCCGACATTCTCATTGAGTCAGTACGTACACTAGTGTTCTATTACTGGTGTCATCAAGTGCAACTAAGCACCTGTTTCTTTTACTTAATTTTAAGATGCCATGTTCGTAATCCGGCCTTGATTACATCATCACAAGAGAATTTGATGGCGTCGGCGCATTTAGCACGGATGCACATCCAGACATTATAACTCCATAAACACAAATTACCATTTATTATCGATTACGATTGTAACAATAACATCTCCATAGAGTCCATGACGAAGACGAAGACATTCAATCACTGATGGAAGAAAACTTGACACAACAGTACGACATCGATGACATACATGATTCAGCGCAATACTACAACACATCGAGTCACTCAGTCGGGAAACAATGGTCCCAGAAACAAACGCCCCAAAATAGCCGTCTATAAACATGTCGGGAAGTCACGGAATCACTTTCACTTGATGTTCAGTTTCAGTTGATGCTTTATCAAGATGGAAATGGCGAGAATCCCGCTATTGGTGCTGTGTAAGTATTAGTATTAGGGACTTACTTAATCCTTTTAAGTGTCATTAAAGTAATTAATCAAATAATTCAACACGGTTTGAAAGGATTTATACAAACAGGACAAGCCTATTCTTGTGTTAGGATAGGATGGTATGACAGGGTATAATGTGCACACAGACTGCATTATATCTGGACCGTGAGTCGCCATGAAAAAAATCCGAAATATCACGCTTGGGCGAATTAAGGTGATTCTAAAAAAAAATATAATCTTATATTATGCTACTTTTTTTTAAATACGACATTAGAATTTCAACAATACAAAGACTTATACTTTATTGGGTATGGAAATGATGTGCACATCATTCGTGAGTAACATTTGTTCCATAATATGTCTGTCGCATAAGTTATATACCTTTATATGTAAAATAGTAATCTCTAAATTAATCCAGGCATCAAACCAATGTGAACAATACCAGTATATCTGTTTCAGTAATCTATATACATCAGTCATCAGCTGAGACCCACTGTTTCTGGTCATCAGACGACGGTCGTTGTATTGACTGTCACATGGGCTGGTATGGGGACTACTGCAACAACAAATGTCCCGGCTACTGCGACATCGGCGGCTGTCACAAGGACACCGGGATATGTGTACAGTGTGACGCTGGCTACCACGCCACTAACTGTACACTAACATGTCCCCCCAACTGTAGATACAGTCATGGTGACAAGCCCCCAATGTAGTCGGGAGACAGGACACTGTCTGGAAAACTGTCTGGAAGGCTGGTGGGGAGACTGGTGTGAGAGGAAGTGCAGTGAGGGATGTGAAGACAGCTCCTGCTACTTCTGGGACGGGTCGTGTTATAAAGGATGCAGGGATGGTTGGGCCGGTGACAGTTGTGACACCAGGTGTCCAGTGGGGTGTCATAGTGACACATGTGAGAGGTACGGCAGCCATAAGTGCACACAAGGATGTCAACGCGGTGTTCACGGACATCACTGTGACAAGCAGTGTAACAGACACTGTAGACATCAGGACTGTTTCTATGACCACGGTATGAAGTCTACAGTCTGCAGACAGGGCTGTGTGGATGGCTGGATGTCTCTCGACTGCAAGATGAGGTGTCCTGGTAACTGTGAGGCATGTTCTCAAGAGACTGGGGAATGTTCCAGGTGCAAGCCAGGCTACTGGGGATCTGACTGCACAAGCCATTGTAGTGTCACGTGTTCAAACAAGACATGTGACAGAGGTGATGGAAGATGCTCTGGTTGTATACACGGTTACTATGGAAACACCTGTGATACGGGTTGTGGGGCTGACTGTATGAGATGTCTCCAGGTAGACGACGGTTGTGGATGTAGGGAGGAATGCCACACGATGTGCCTGCAGCACCATCAACAGGGGAGGGGCATGTGATGATGTACACCGAGGAGGGGAATGTAAGCAAACAAAATTTAATACTCGAGATACAGACACGTCCTCAGATATGTCCATAGATATGTGTTGTTAAAAAATGATGCCACAAAGGCATGTGCTACTATAAAATGCATTTTTGATACATGGCACAAAATGAAAATATGAACATCACGGGGTTTTTTTAGTCGCAATTTGTAAAATATTCAGCAGGTTTTATTTCAGTATGTGATTAATACAGTGTTTTGTAATCCTTCTGTCCACATTACCTTATCCTTTGAAGAGATCACTGTCCTCCCACGTCTACCTGACATGCGTCATATGACTGTCTGCAAGGGAATGCATTTTCAAAGTAGTATATAACTCACTCACGCCTGATTGGCAACTTGTATTGGTACTTCTTGATATTTTATTTCTCTTTCAGACAAAACGAACGGATCACAGAGATGTGCAGTTGAAGACATCCTGTTTACATTATCTGTAGGTCTGCTGGTTCGACATCGACTTCTTCAAGCTTTGAACTTGATATAACCAACATGTGACATGTTCTGGTGACACCGGGCGGTTTGCTGATATTCTTCATCATAGGTCATGGCATTAATGATCCTTCGGTGTCTCCATGCATGAGACGATGCAGTGTTGTTGTACAACATCACTTGACTCTCCTCCCACAGCAAGCATATCACATAATATGCTGTATTACAGCAACCGAATAAATCGCATATCAGACATTTGTTGGGGTATTTAAACTGTTTATGCCATGTGTCCCTTTCTTGTGAAGTTTGTTTAGTGGCCACAGACGTTTTGTATTCCACATTATCAAGAGTGGCATATTGTGATATCGCAATGTAATATACAGTAATAAAACTGTTCGTAGTGTTTGCTCATATCAGACATTTGTTGGGGTATTTAAACTGTTTATGCCATGTGTCCCTTTCTTGTGAAGTTTGTTTAGTGGCCACAGACGTTTTGTATTCCACATTATCAAGTGGCATATTGTGATATCGCAATGTAATATACAGTAATAAAACTGTTCGTAGTGTTTGCTCATATCAGACATTTGTTGGGGTATTTAAACTGTTTATGCCATGTGTCCCTTTCTTGTGAAGTTTGTTTAGCATAAGGTATATGTACCTCGTGTCGGTAATTGACAACACTACATATTAGTCAGTGAGTAGAAATACAGGCAAGTGAAACAGAGTTATTTCCCTTGTATTGCAGCTCAGAACTTTAAGGTATATGTACCTCGTGTCGGTAATTGACAACACTACATATCAGTCAGTGAGTAGAAATACAGGCAAGTGAAACAGAGTTATTTCCCTTGTATTGCAGCTCAGAACTTTAAGGTATATGTACCTCGTGTCGGTAATTGACAACACTACATATCAGTCAGTGAGTAGAAATACAGGCAAGTGAAACAGAGTTATTTCCCTTGTATTGCAGCTCAGAACTTTAAGGTATATGTACCTCGTGTCGGTAATTGACAACACTACATATTAGTCAGTGAGTAGAAATACAGGCATGTGAAACACAGAGTTATTTCCCTTGTATTGCAGCTCAGAACTTTAAGGTATATGTACCTCGTGTCGGTAATTGACAACACTACATATTAGTCAGTGAGTAGAAATACAGGCAAGTGAAACAGAGTTATTTCCCTTGTATTGCAGCTCAGAACTTTAAGGTATATGTACCTCGTGTCGGTAATTGACAACACTACATATCAGTCAGTGAGTAGAAATACAGGCAAGTGAAACAGTGCCAAACTGGTCCATACATCTGTAATTGTGTCAAGTACGAACAGAATCCTTAAACTGTGACAGGTTTTATGGAGGCATGGTTTGTCAGTGACCAGTATAATGAATATATGTAGGTGTGTTTCACGCCGGATAACCTGGCTCTAGGTGACCAGTTGTAGTTATTTATGATGCTTCTACAACAAATAATAACAATGAATAAACATATGGAAATCAAATCAATCCATAAAAGTGCTCATTTGAAACATTTAAAAATTGCGAGGATATATTTTGTGTTGGTTAAAAAGAACACAAAACACAAGGTAACAATGTTATGCAATGAATGTCCCTGCGTGTTTTGCACCTAGTTGTTAATGTTGTTTTTGTAGTTTAACAATATTTTCATCAAAATGTTTTCTACTGTAGCGGAGTCATGAACAACGATAACCCGAACAACTATCAACAATGGAGTGAAATGATAGAAAGGAACCATTTCGTTATATAACAATCATTCATATCATGTCCGTCTGTGAAATACATGTTGTATACAACACATATGTCACTAAGACGTTGGAGTTGTTTCCCCTTCATTACACGGAGGTATGACATGACGAGATCGCTCAGCTGATGGTGACACGCAGTAACGCATATGTAGGTCCAGGAAGTATTGCCCGATTTCACAACAGTTTACACAGCCTTGTGTTTAAGTGGTATCGTCGAAACTCATTGTGAAAATATATTTTGTAATTAAATTTGGACTATGCTCACAGTCATTTTAGTATTCATTTATTCATATTCGGGCTAAAATCCTTCTTGCACATTAATATTAAGATGTTTCAACACCAGTTATATTACAACGTGTTAGGGACAAAGGAGGAGAGGTGAAAGTCTCAACAAGGAACATATGACCACGTTGACGAAAGCATATGGTGATATCAACCCAAGGTTTATAATACAGACTGGCTACAAGTGACCCGCTTTGACTGGAACAAGCAGATTCTATGTCTTTGTGATATACGTCGCTATGATTCCACTAGATGCGAAGAAATGACCTGCGAGATTAAGTTATCACGAACGTTAAGACGTAGGACATACTGTCCACTTGGGGATTTGAACGCACCATCACAGGTACATGATGCGTATTAGTCAAATACATAACTACATGTATTTGTTACGAGTTGGTTTTTTTTATATTAGTGAGATAAGTAAGGTACTTTTGTAACCCTAGGACTACACTAGTAACATTTACGACAGTCGTAGAGCTAGAAGTATTTCGACAAGGACACCCAGGACTCTTCTATGACAGTATGAAGTCTATAGTCTGCAGACATGGTTGTGTGGATGGACGTCTATCGACTACCAGCATATATGCCTTGTAACTGTGTGACAAGTTCAAGATAATAGTCGAATGTTGAGAATAAAATAATAATTGTGTACAGTGTTCAGTGTCAGTACAGACAAATGAATGTCATTCAACAGTATTTGTATTTATTTAAATAGGCAGTAGGATATAGACGGAAGCATAAGTCTCAGTCACGCACTATTTATACTTATATATATTACTCCATACTATTTAAGACCGCTTCTTTGTGTCCTCGACCCGTGAAGATACGGTTAAAATTAGTCTCCATCAACCCATGCTTGTTGTAAGAGGCGACTAACGGGATCGGGTAGTCAGGCTCGCTGACTTGGTTGACACATGTCATCGTATCCCGATTGACCGATGCCTATATGCTGTTGTGTAATCCCAAATATGACATGGGATACATTTGACCGCTTTTTAAATGACATTGTGTATTTAATTGCGGAGATCGGTGATCATGCTGTTCATCACAGGCTTTTGAATCTTTGTGTTCCCACTGTGATGACTTGGACATTGTTTAAACACACGCACATATCTGTACAACATATTGGAAACTTAACGTGCATGGAATTTTTTCCCGAAAATATTTACACTGAATACCTACCTCGTGATTGATAGTTGCTTCATTGGAAATCAAATATATTTCGTCTGCATATCTACCTCATACGCTGTGTATATCCTGGGTGAATAATGCCAGATATTGATTGCTACACGGACAAATTAAACTTACAAAGATTCATGTCACTGACAAAGTTACGATTACTAGTTCTTATATGCATGCACGAACCCTCTCTGTGTAACATGCACGATACAAACCTTAAGTAAACAGTGTTATCAAGCTCCACCAACTTATCGATCTTTAAAGGGACATACCTTGGGCCACAAAGGAGGTGGTGGTGTGTGTTAGCGTTAGTTTGTGTGATGATTGTTAGGGGGAGGGGTGGGGTGGTCGCGGGGGATGTCCATCAATTTTGTACTCATGTATTAGGAGGGTGAGCTATTTTCGTGCATAAATATATTTTAAAATTATGGGGGTGGGTGATTTTGTAGGGGGAGTCACTTACGTTGCTTTGCTTAAATTTTAGAGGGGGTCATTCACGTTGTAAACAACAACAACAACACAACAACAAACACACACACACACACACCATACCCCCACCCCACCCCCACCCACCCCGAGCCATAAATTATGAACAGTCCCTAAATGAGGTCAAATATACTAGTTCTCTGAACTTTATATTTTTCATGTCGTAGAGTAGTTCGCGTAGAACGTGATATTGTCGTGAAAAGTATTGGTTAAATGGACATTAATTAGATGGTTCACACGACTCCGTACTCAACTTATTTACCTTGTAATGACTTAACTTATAATTCCTGCTGACACTTGCAGTAAACATTTGTCTTTGTTTGGTCACTCCTGCAGCAACTCCAAACACCCTTCGTTGTATTTCCGGGAGAAGTGGCTCGACGGGAGTCTCAGGGGGTTTCCCTTCTTGGAAAACAACACGGAAGCTTTGGGCTGATTACAACTGATAAGTTATAAGGTTACTTCATGACACAATCTTTGAGATAGAGTCATAGTAACTTTATACAAGAGATCTCCCATGCAAAGTTTACGCTTACAGAGGAGATTAATCACAATAGCTAATTTTAGCGTTGTGTGTACTTGGGACGAAGTGGTGATTTCCTTTGATTTCTTTCTCACTGCCTCTATATTGGACGGACCAATTTAAAATATAAAATAATAATCACATATAGTTCACAGGAATTGTCAACTACAGTGGGGAAAAAAGTCCCGTTACATTAAAGACGTTCGGAGCATTATAAGAAGTAGCATAAAAAGCCTCCTTTGGACCTGGTAAGTCTGTGAAGGTATCCTCGCTTGTCAATCAAGGCAACGTGTGTGTTGAATCTGGGATGATCTTATATTTGTGTTGCTGAGCGGTGACTGCAGTCGGAAGTCATAAGTAATGAAATTTCACATAATGTGAACTAAATGTACAGGTTACACTCGAGGTAACGTCCTCTGAAAGTACATGTGTTGTCAGTTAACAAGTGTTTGAGAGAGGGCTAGGACATGAACATGTATGTTTCAGTTTGAATACTGTTGTGGATACTGTGGAATATACTGCTCACAAAAAGTAGGGGATATTGAAAAGTTGAGACAAATAAAAGCAAACGTATGTTTAATTGTCATTTGAAAACAATGTTCATGTGGAAATAGGGATGTCTAACACCAGTTGTCAACAAATTAACTTTGATAACAATGCCGATGTTCTTTGTGGATATTGCGAAGTTGATCAGGGGTGATAACCCAAATGTCACAAACCGGTTAATAACGAGCGGGCCCACCATTAGTTGCCAAACAAGCATGGCATCGACATCTCATACTCCTAACGAGGTGACCAATGTCAACTTGAGGAATCCCCTGCCATTCCTCTTGAAGTGCCACGCCCAGTTCTGCCAAATCTCGACGTGAGGGTTCCGCCCCTCCACTCGTCGTACGAGCATATCCCACAGATGTTCAATGGGTGAGAGATCGGGGGACATCGCTGGCCATGGACGAGTTTGGATTTGGTGCTGCCGGAGATGCTCAATGACAACGCGAGCACGGTGAGCCCTGGCCTTATCATCCTGGAAAATAGAACCTTGTCCGTGGCGGGGTGCATACGGCAGGACGTGTGGCGTGATGATGTGGTCACGGTAGTAGACACCAGTGACTCTCCCTTGGCAGATGTGGAGATTGGTTCTGCCCGTTATCGTGATCGATCCCACACCATAACAGACCCCCTTCCATATCGATCATGAGGAATCATGGCGGCTGGCTGGTGGCGTTCACCAGGGCGTCTGCCAGACACGATGACAGCCGTCACTGAAGTCCAAGGTGAACCTTGACTCATCGACGAACATTACATGGGACCACCGGGCATTGTTCCACCGCTGGCAACGGGATGAAACGTCGCCTTGCTCGAAGGTGTGCAGCATGGAGACGGTTCCGTATAGAGATGCGGCTCCCAGTAGCCTGTCTGTGTACTTGCTGCAGCTGTGTCGTCGATCACGGAGGGCTCCAGTGATGATCCGCCGGTCATCGCGTCTCGTGGTACCTCTGGGGCGACCACTTCGAGGCCTATCCTGGACTCTTCCAGTGGCTGTGTAACGTGCCCATGGCCTGCTGACTACAGACTGCGAGACACCCGGTTGTGCTGCTGTGTGGGCTTGTGTTCTTCCGGCCTGGAGCATCCCTATGGCTCTCAATCTTTCGTCTTTTCGTAATCTTCGCATGGTGGAAAGTGGTGAAATGGTGGATGGCCATGGTCTTAACCCCACATTTATAGCCACCCTTGCATTTTGCCACTTGCACGTGTAAAAACATGGTGTGATGTTTCATACCCACCCCTGGTGCGTTTGAGTTCAATGTTTTCGGATCTATGGACACCTGGTGGTCACCGTGCAATATGCTAAGGTGGACCAATGGTTATACTCAAACATACTTAAAGTAATCGGAGGAATCTATATTCCTGTGTCTTTGCCCCTGTGTTTAACTTCAGAACCCGCTACTTTTTGTGAGCAGTATATGAATGCTGAAAAGTCCGGAATATGATGTGATGTGATGTGATATCATATCATATCATATCATATCAATATCACGATGGGAGAGACCAGAAATAGACTTTATACATTGTACTCATGTGGAGAATCGAACCTGGGTCTTCTTCGTGACGAGCGAACGTTTTAGCCATCAGGCTAAGCAACTGCCCAGCAGAATATAAAAAGAGCTGAACTATATCTGGATGTATTTAATCTAACTACAGCTGTAGAGCTGTGTCTTATTGATTATTCAGAAACATCTCAGGACTCAAAGCAAATACTGTTTAGGGACTTACGAAAATGAAAGATCAAACTGAAACTGATCTCGACACTTAAATTTGTTTCCGCCTAGATTACTCATGTGACTCCCCATATTTAACAGTTAGAGGTCCCAATGTAATTGTCGCTATCTAACCCAGGTGGCGTTACTGACACGCACGTTGATGTTGTGGCGCGTGCAACTGAACCTACATCTATCCAGACACAGTAGAGGCCAGTGGAGGCCCAGTCGCAGTTCGAGTTACGTCCCTTTATCACAGAATCACATATTTAACCATCCTTGGTTTACAAATACGGTCACTGTGGTGGACATCTTAGACATGCATAATCTAGGAATTTCCTCAAACATTACACATTGGACACTCATACATTATGCAGTTCAGTGGAGACTAACACCAGTAGATTTGACGATTCATTTCAGTTCAGAATGTGCACTTGTTAAATGTTGCTGATGCGCTGATGCCAGACAGGACGCCAAGTAGCACATCATCCTGCATGATCTGAGCTTTAGGTTGGTTTGAAACATAAGTTTTTGTAGCGTGTAACAATACAAGTATGTGTTTCAACCGGCACCAGATAGTTGTGTTCCGCAGTCAATTTTCTCAACTGAATGAATATACATTTTACATCAGTTAATAAACACCAGTTGTTAATATCATAATATTTTAGATGAATACGTTGCTCAAGTCCTCAGTCTGCAACTGATAATTTCATATTCTGATCATAAGAGACCATTATTTATTTACCACCTCCATCACATCATCAATATTACTACTGCTATCAGACATTATACAAGTATAAATGTGTTTAAATTATTGAGAAATGTTTACTTATTGAATTAGAAAATATCACCCCAATTACTTTCTTTGACGATCATATTGTGTCCTCCTTGTCACCCGGTAACATTTCTTTAACTGTCACGTGGTATGTTATAGCATAAACAGTGCTCAATGTGTGCATTAGTGACAAGAACTGTGGAGGTGTCTCTGGTAAGTACGTCAATCCGCCTGTTTCTACATCATACACTTAGAGGTAATAACGATACCTATGTACAACTGAGTAATTGTCCGCATAGTGTTAGGATAAGTGTGTATATTCGTAGTTTTTGTTTGAGGCACGAGTTGTCCAGTCGTTTAGTACACCGCTGTCGGTATTGCTGGGTCCCATATTCCTGCTTTGGTAAAACAATTCCTAGATTCACAACTACCGATTTTGCTTCTCAGTCATCAGTACCATGTTATAGAGCTTTATCAAATGGGAAAACGTCCAAGACTTGCATCACTTTCGGGATTTCGTAACACATTGTGCCAACAAAGCTCCAAATAAGTAAAATAATGGTCAACGTTAACTCAACTCACTCACAGACACTACGTTGTTTCAGTTGTGACATCGACGATCTAGGAATGGACATGACGTACATGTTGGTGGCGTTCTTCTGTGTGTCAGGCCTACGAGGAGGTACGTCCATTTTGATTTAAAATGGGTTATCACGACAAAAACAGAATACAAACATAGAAATAGAAATGTTGTACAACTGGAGCATTATAAAAACGTACTTTTTTGTATGTCCAAAAGCAGTTATTTGTTACATAAACAGTAAAGCTCTCTTTAGGAAAATAATCAATAAAACAAAATGCGTGGCAACTTACTTACTAGATATTCATAAGGAAATATAATAATACTAGCTTCACTGCATAGTTTCTGTGGTGGCACAGTATTATTTAGACAACACTCTGTGGTATAATGTCACTACTTCCAGTGCTCCTGGCTATATGCTGTGACCACTGTGAGGGCCAACCTACAGACGCTGATTGTCAAATATGCAGGAATAGAACCAGGACCTGTTCTGAAGCTTTACAGGTAGGTTCAGTTAAACGTTCGATTTCTGTTTCCTTTCGATAGAGATGACTGCTAACCATCATTGTAGCAAACAGGACATGTGTGTTGCAGTACAAGGCTTATTGGAGAACATGTATTTCCTTGCCGTTGAGCCAATCATATCTTACATGTAAAATATTTTTGCTTACAGCAACCGACTAATTTGTAAAAGGTTCTTTCTGTTCTTTACGAAATATTTAGTGTTTGACAAATTAGGAAACAAAATATCGTGAAATCAATTTTCAGTAAGCATTACCATAGTCAAGAGTGACTAATGACATAGCTGCATCAATCATTCATTCATAGGCCTACAGAACTCTGAAACATATTCGGATTGATGTAAACATATGAAAACCCCTCCAATTAAACTACATTTTCATCTGGATGTTCTTGTAAAACGAGTGTAAACAAGTTCATACCAAAATGTACACATTGAGCTACGAGCACAGCAATGTCTTGTCACCGAACCAAAATCTGTATTCATATATGAAGAGACTGTTGCCTCGCTTTTTATATTTTACGTATTTTCATCCTCGGGTTTTGAAAAAATGTATTTCTCTTCCTCTTACAACAGACAACCCCGGGTGAAATGTTACAGCCTTACTTGTGTCCAGATCCGCGTTTCTTTGGCACAGATTGTGACAAGAACTGTTCAGATGCATGTATGAACTCCCGCTGTGAACTACAGGAAACAACCCTGGTCTGTACAGACGGATGTATTGACGGTAAGAAGGGAATATACTGCCAGGAAGATTGTCTGTCGACATGCTCCAAGTGTGAACGCTACGGTAGTGTTTGTCTACAGTGTAAGGATGCACTTAGCTATGGAAAGAAGTGTGACAAACGTTGCCCTCCAAACTGCAAAGGTGGATGCGCCAAAGAGAATGGTATTTGCACAACGTGTGCATTGGGATTTAGAGGAGCCAGATGTGAAACACCTTGCAGGCCAGGTTGTGAGGTATGTCCTCGTTACACGGACGGATGTTTCACGTGTTTGTCTGATCGCTATTACGGCAAGGACTGCAGGTTTCCTTGTCCACAGAACTGTCTTCAATGCAAGAAAGACACGGGAGACTGTACTGAGTGTGTGCATGGATACAGCGGGAAACAGTGTAAGTGTTACTTTATACATCCGTATTTACTGCATGTACTCTATTCTATTGGGATTTCAACATTTGTGTAGAAACTGGAATTTAGAACAGCTTCCTCGTGTGATGGATTTATGATACTGATGAAGTTGTACATTGTGGGTGTTTTCATATTAAATTTCATACATTAAATACATATTACAAACAGTAGTTGTACATTTGATTTTTATCTATTTTGGGTTTGTGATGCATACATAGTTTAAGTTATACAATGAACTGACAAGGAAATATTTAAATTTATAATATGAATAATCCCGCTAATGAGAGACTAGGGAATAGAATGAATACACCAGGCAATAAATACATACACACGTGACCAAATACGAACTCATAATGAACAAAAGATACTAAAACACACTAGGTTGATCATTCTCTTCCCACAGAGGTTACTTGTCATATGTTCCTACGAACCTCTGTTCTAATACGGCCATATTTCCCGGTTCTCGTAAAATCCCCTAGCGGCAAAAGATCGCAACAAGAATTATCTCCCTTCTTTCTATCCAATCAGAACACGTGTTACATCGACTTAGATTCAACTTGACTAACACAAGCAAATGTGGGGCAACCAATATCCCCCATCTGCCGGGGACTTGTGTTGATGTTACACACAAGACCTTTAATGGCTAGCTTGTCCGTTGTCAACGAGGGCAATGGAGACGCCACTGATCCGCCATAACATGACTGAGTTCTGTCTAGAAGAAACGTTTGCGCATCGCGCAGGGGAGGAGGTTTAGTTTTCTCGAAGCATACGGAAATTACCGAGGCCTTGCGAATGATCACTTTTGAAACAACGTCGCTGATTGCACAACTAAATCTGATTGCCTCCAATCACGAGTCTTGAACGCTCACACCATGAAAGGGCCGTATTAGAACAGAGGTTACGTAGGAAGATATGACAGGAGTAACCTCTGTGGGAAGAGAATGTAGGTTGATATTCAAATGTGCAAAATATAGAAATTGAAATGGCCTTGCAGTCATGGCTTTCCTCATGTCGCTTGTCACTACACATATGTGAACAACTATTTACATGATTATTTCATTTGTATTTAGGCACCGAACATGTACAGAAACTGGACCCTAATACCGTCCTCATCGCGTGTTCGGTCCTGGGAGTTGTCTTGTTTGGAGGAGTCTTGCTGTTCCGCCACAGACTGTGCACTTACAGACACCACAGGAGGTAAGTTATCGTTACTGGACATCTGTGTACTGAAATAAACGGCAGACACTTTTGACTCAAACAAAGGTAAGCGGTCAAATCAATGGCATACGGATATGTATGCAATAATCTTAACCTTATATTTCAGACCGGAGACAAATCCACCAACTGGCAATCAGAATACGTCAACCATGGACGTGAGGGCAAGACATGGAATGCTGAATAATGATGTCCCTCATAAATACTGGGAGATCCATGATACTGACCTAGACACAGTTACACAGTCAACTGCATCTGTACAAAGTGGAGACATGGGTGGAGCATCTAATACAATGAGGTATCACCCCAAACCAGATATCCCCAAGAAACGACGTGAAGATGGTCGGTTTCATCCAGTAAAGAGTCCAACAGAACTCGCTGCTTCAAGAGATGCAGATAATCATCCTATGGCTGCCCATTTTGGCAACAGCAAGATTGATGAAGATGCATGGCCTTCTGATTTTGACTGTTTGTCTGAAGATCATGCGATTTCAAATTCCAATGGTGGTTTACAACTGTCAAGGTGGATTCAAACAATAAATGTGGACATGGACAGCTGTGAAAATTCTAGAAGTGTGCCAATACCTGTAGATAAATACTTAACAGCAATGGGTTCAGACATCTCCCATGTTGAGAAAAGCGTTGATGTGGAACATGTGTATGAACTGGAATTGTCCACGGTGTGAACACTGAACACTTGTTCTATTTTGATGATTTTGTGTTGTGAACTGCGTGCTTAAGCCGGACAAACTAAAAATGATTCAAATTGAAGGACGTCGCATTGTGTACAAATGTACAATGTACAAAATGGCTTTTAGTTAGCTTTTATGGGGTTACTATTACAAGACTTATAATAGACTTCGTAAAGTACAAACCCTGGACATTATCGTGGTGGATATATTACTTATGCGAGTTAGACAGACAACTGATGAAAACCCCTCTAGATTCTTGGCGTGAATGACTACCCGCGGAGGTTTGCTGCTTCAACTCTGTCGACCCGCTAGATTAGCTAATATTACAGTCTCTCGAGAAATGTTTCCCGACCCGGACATGCAGTCGTGTGTACGGGGGCGACGCTTCTCTGTTCGCTGTCCAAGCTGTCTAGCACACAGGCCCTCGTGTCTTTGCGAGGATTAAACATTAATACAAATAATTTTGAGATGACCCCCGACTCGAGGTGGTCATGTCGAAACTTCTTTCTACTTCTTCTTTTTTTAAAATCTTTAATACTTGATAGGACACGAGGGCCTGTGGTCTATCATTGCATACAGAAGCTGTTTACATTACGGGTGGTTTGATCCGATATCTGTTACACTATACACGATTTTGACAATGTATACCCATGTGTATGTATACTGTATATATTAATGTCAGGTTGCCGTAATACAACGCGATGTTAGCGCTAAGGTGATCGTAACTCCCATACCTAAAATAGACTTGCGACAATCGTAGTGATTATGTCGTTGTGTACCACAGCATCCTGGGCAGCTGTATATATTAGAACTGACCAGTTAAAAATCAGAGCTGCTAACCTTCGAGCATTAGCGTACCTAAATGCATTCAGGTTGTGAGTCCATGCTAAATATACTTACAGTTCACATATACAGGCATAATGGTCTCAAAACATAACTCATGTGTTGATGGTGTATGCAGTTTGATTTCTATTGAGACAGAAGTACTAAGTTTGAAGTGAATATGGTTTACTTAAAGAGAGCGATTTTCAGATTAAATATTTAGTTGACTTCCAATCCTTGGTCATTAATACGTTAGTAAAAATAGGGAGGTGAACAGAACTCACCTCAATCCTATCATTTGGTAGGGCTGGATATTGCCCTGATTTTCATATTGCGATATATTGCAATAATTTAAGAGATATTGCAATACATATTGTGATATATTGACTGGAAGGTTTCCAAGTGCGTACATCATACATTCATAATAGCTCTCTGTGTGCGACATCATCTTCTTAGTTGCTGATACACCATACTTTCAGGCTCCCGATCGCATTGTGTATGGCTGTATGGCAATGGTTTACAGATAAATAAAATAATATAGAGCCTTAATGTGGAATATTGCTCCAACGTTTTGCGAACATGATGATAAAGGTAATAGTATAACATGATTTTCATAGCCACCGTTGTTTGCTTAAACAGAATGCACTTCAGTGCTGTATGTAATTATTGTTACTGTATGTGATTCATTCAGATTCAATGTGTTAACATGAACTGTTGTCAAATGAAACAAATACAAGATCGCATGTGACCTCCAATAGCTAAGATCCTTGACTGGAATGTCATTATACAGTCCTACAAATTTTCTAAGACTCAGACCTGTATGATAAATTGATATCATATGCCCAATTATGAAACAAACAAAAATAAACAAAATACTGTGAACTGTGAAATGGTCACTCAGATCCAGAGGCTCTACTAATAAGTCCAAATACAAATTGGTCCATTTGAGGCCACTGAATTCCTCCAAATGAAACTATTCAAACCCACAAAACGTAATTTATATATTGGGTAGAATATATGGCAATTTTGGAGCCACTTATATCGACACTTCCACTTGTAAAATGTTACATGAAACCAACAGAAATAAAAGTTTATTTGGCACTTTTAGAGCACATTTGTTTGCTATGGAAATCAAGGGCAGATAATTCAACTCTGGATGACCCAATATATTGAAGAATCTGAACCATATCGCGATAATCGTATTGCGAGATACTGTATCGGTTTATACCGGTTTACCGGTAATATTGCACAGCCCTATCATTTGGAAGTGTTTACATCACAAATACCTAACTTATGCATGGCGAATC